CCTTCGTTCCACATCAAATGCATCCTGCCCAACACCAGCGATAGCCCAGTTTGTGAAGCAACGTTGAAGCTCTTGGAAAGACAGCAAATACTAACGCTGTTTGCTCCGGCGACTTGCTTTGAAGAGGACGAAAGCGACCAAGAAGTGAGGCAGCCGATGACGATTGACGACGAACTAGAAGACGAACAGAACGAAGCACTCGTGAACAGTTTATTAGCAAAAATATTAAGACCTTCGCGAAGGTCTGTCAGACAATCGCCATTTTGCCAACCGGATATGTACTTTTAATGTACAGTGATGAGTCATGCGATATTGTACCTGTCAGTCCTGGATCGTTGTGATGCATTTCCGATGCGAAATGAGATCGATGAGATCAGATAGGTAATATTTAAAAACATGTCACCTGTGGTGTGGGGAAAATAAGTTTAAACTGCCAAATCTACCAATTTTTTTATGTGTGTGTAAAGATAGTGCAAGTGAGAGTCTGCTATTTTACGCGCGTCGAAACACTGTTATTCAAACATAAATATTTCGCGTTCTAGATCGAATTTAAAAAATACCCCCGAGGAAATTAAAGAAGAAAGCATGCTTTATCAGAATTTGTCAGTTTTGGCGAAAAAAAATTAATATCGAATGTCACCGAGGGCGTAGAACAAGGTGTTATTTTCTCACTCCTTTTGTTTACATGTTTCGAATTTCAGGCATTCTGATTGGTCAAGAACGCAAATTGTAAACAAACGCGCTGATTGGCTAACATTATTTGCCCTTGTTGGTTGGACGAACATGGCTGTAATAAGTTCAAAAGTTTCTCTAAAAGTTCAAAATTTCGTATACTTCAAGCTTACCGGTAATTTACAACAAAATTAATTTGCAACAGTTTTGCATTCGCGAACCGCATTATTTGGACAAATGAATTGCAAAACTATGAACAATATGTTTGAAAGATTTGATATTACCGTAATGACTTTTCAAGTTTTCAGAAACATTGCACTATCCTTGGATCCCTAGTTGGAAATGATGAGAATGGTATATTCGTGAGGAGTAGCGAAGTTGATATGAGAGAGAATAAGTTCTTTGACAACGAAGGTTGGGGTATTTGGTCGCAGAATAACTCTTGGTGTAATGTATCGATGAATGAAGTCTTCCGTAATAAATGTGGAGGAGTTCGTGTTGGAAAACGGCCGGCCGGAAAGGAATTCCCTCCCTCTGTAGTCGAACTGAACAAAGTGCATGATAATTTTGGCCCTGGAATTGTTGATACCATTAACAACTTTGAAGATATCCGCCGTGTTGGGAACGATAAAGATGTGTCGAAAACTAATGATGATTATAAATCAGCAAAATACGATAGAAATGTTGAGTGCAATAACGAAGAAAGGATTAATGTTGGTAACAAATCGAAATTTTCTTCGTCTTGGTGTTCTGGGTGCAAGGGAAAATGCGGGTATTCGAAACTGTGTGGGAACTGCTTCACTGCCGGCTATTGCAACAAGGTTTGTCAAAAAGGACACTGGCCAAAACACAAGAAATTGTGCAAAGTTTTACGCGAGAATTCGAGCTTCTTGATCACTTTCATGAAGAAGCATGTTTTGGACATTTCGGTTGATATTAACGCGAAAGGTCTTGATGAAGTTGGCCCAAAGAACAGTCCTCGTCCACCGCGAAATGGTACAAGATTCATCGTTAAAGTGCAAACGGATTTTGAATATAGTGTTTTGGGTAAGCCGCACTTGATTGTAATTTACGACCGCAGCCTTGATGTTTACGAAGACTTTGAAGATGAATTTATTGACCATCTTGTGAAAGAGTTTGGCGTCCTTTGTGAATGGAAATATCAAGAGAAAAAGCTTTTTCTTTACTGCGTATTTGAAAAGAACGGAAAGCTACGATTGTTCATCAATGATTTCGCTGACTTTCAGAAATGGTGAACTTTTACGTGCATGATGTATCTGAACACTCGTGAAAAATTTGCAAATTGAATACTGAATACTATTGTAAATGAATTGAATACTATTTCAAATGAATAGTTTACAATAAGTAATTTCGGTTCTATTAGTATATCAATATTCAACGCCATATGTGTCAATAATAATCATAGGCGTACGGGGCCGCTAAATTCTGGGGGGGCGGTAGCTTTTTTGCCCAAAAAATTCCACATTGCCCAAAAAATATCAAAAAAATTTTTCCGGAAAAATTATTTTGGCGACCTCCCCCCCCCCCGTCGCCAAAAAAATTTCGGTCAGTGTACCATTTTAGGGGTCAAAAAAATTTTCCGGACAACCAATATTTTTCGGAACATAACACAAATTTTCCAAAAATCAGAAAATTTGCCAAAAAATTCACTTAATTTTAGACAAAATTGACAGAATTTGTCCCATTTTTTTTAATTGCAAACCAAAATTGCCCGACTGTTGATCGAATATTGCCCGACTGCCCAAAAAACTGGGAAATTGCCCGACTGCCCAAAAACTGGGGGGGCTACCGCCCCCCCCCCCCGCCCCCCGCCCCGTACGCCTATGATAATAATACATAGTTTAATGTTATACGGAAACAAAATAGAACTTTGAACTTTTAGGTCAGGCCGTTACTGATTTACTGTTCACGTTGTATTTTAATGAAAGGTTGATTTTCAGATAATAAAATGTAGTTTATTAAACTCTCAAAAACCCGTGGACCACTGAGTGGTTCGCCTGATATTATTTACAATTTCAACACTATGTCCATATATGTCACAGAAGTCAGTAATATAGTCTATAGGACCTGTATATTAATAGGAGTACAAACTCCTATTAATATACAGGTCCTAAAAAGTCCAGGAAGTGGCATTTCAGAGACTCTAAATTTAAAATTCCTCGGGCTTATCCTCAGTTTGCGCCTCCAATCAAAAAGAGCTTCCTACGGCACTGCATGCTTCTGTAATATGTCTGTGCGTAAAATATGCGTATTTTTGTTTGCAAATTGCGTCTTCATTTTTCGGATAGCAAACACCTTCGTGGCTTCGTATGCCATAAAATATTCGGAAATTTTTTTCGTCATTGGGAAATGTTTGGCCCCCAACTATAACATGCTAGCTACGGCCCTGGTCTCGTCGTCATATTGCCTTGAAGTTTGTCTTAAAACTTCAATTAGTCCTTACTTAGTTTTCTATTGTTTGGTTGAACAATCTACTTTCAAAGTTTGTTGTACTTCTCAAGCGCAATAATATTCCCGGCGAGTTATATTGAAGTACAATCGTCTAGTACTTGACCTCAATTAACCTATACGAGACCCTTCGTATCTAGACATAATGCCGAGACATATTGCCTTCTGGCTTTCTTCACTCATACTATTGTTCCTTTTCATTGTCCTAAACTCGTGTAACTCATGGAACGTGGTCACTCCAGACGCCTCGCTCGTGTATCTATGGGTGCTGATATCGCAAGTTATCCAAACAGGAATTGTGGATGTCCCAAATGCGTTTCATTTACCACAAGTATTCTCAACTGTTTTAGGGTAAATGGCATATGTGCCAAAACCTGAATCCTGGACGAAAGTCCTGATCAAAGGCCTTCGAGGCCGACTCACGGATGAGATCAAATGGTTTATGATCCTATATGATTTACAGCAGTTTTTTACAAACGGGAACCGTGCAAGGGCAAGGACATTATTTGGTAAAACACGACATAATATAAAATGTTCCCGAAGATCTTACAGGTTTAAACAGTTTAATTTTAACGACATCCTCGATTTTAACAATAACCAATATCAACAGTGTTGAAACAACAATCTGAATAGATTACTATAAAACTACACACTATCAAAGCAAATCTATATAAAAGTACAATAACCGTAGCTGTCAGGTTTGTATCCTAATACAGTCAGTATCAGTGCATCCAATGACCGTGGCTTTCCGATTTGTACAGTGTTAAACCAGAACAATTTAAACATGATAACTATAATAAGGGACTTGTCAGAAATTAGCAGGGGGGGAGGGGGGGGTGGAAAATAGGGGAGGGTCATAATTTTTGAGCCCTTCAAAAGGGAGGGTCATGAAAAAATAGACAGCAAAAAAGGGAGGGTCACGAGAAATTAAGCCATTGTGATCATAAAGAATTTTTTAATATGATTAATGTTTATATTTCAAAACTACAAAGCTATTGAAAGTATAAATGTAAACAACCCAACTTTTAATATAAAAAAGGTCTTGTTTTGCATTTACAAAACATCAATTGTCTAATATCTCAGAAGTACTGATCTCAGCATCACCATCAGCGCTGCTACCATTACCATAATCTCTGCTACCATCACCATCAGCACTGCTACCATCACCATCAGTACTGCTACCATTACCATCATCTCTGCTACCATCACTACTGCTACCATCACCATCAGCACTGCTACCATTACCATCATCACTGCTACCATCACCATTAGCACTGCTACCATCATCATAAGCACTATTACCATAATCTCTGCTACCATCAGCACTGCTACCATCACGGGCATCAGCACTGCTACCATCACTATCATCCTCCTCAATCTCACTCATGGAAAATGTCATATATTGCTTGATAGTGTCCTTTGCAGCCACAGTGAACAATTCCTTGTCAAAAGCATATTGGATGTAAGGCAACTGTCTCTTTTTTAAACCAATAATTCCTTCCTGATGTAATTCTAGTGGGCCTATGGGCTCTGCATCACTATCGTTACGTTGAGGTGCAATGGTTCTAATTATCTGTTTACAGTTAGCCTCCATTCTGTTTTGTTTTGCTCTCTTGGCCTTCCTCTTGTTTTGTTTCTGTTTTCGTTTTCTACTTTGTGACTTAGAGTATGTTACCTTAAAGAGACGAGTGAACTTTTCTTGTAATCCTGTTAACTGATTATTAATTTCTGTCACTTTCCTGTGGAGAAGGACAACTTCTCCCAATTGTTTTTCAAAGAACTTATGGGTAGCTTCTCCACTTTTCAGTTTTCCAGTGGAACTGAAAAGTTTGCTGTCTAAAGTTTTTAGTTTGTTATCAGTAGAACTTAGATTTGAAATTATTTGTTTAGCCCTTTGGATGTTATTGTTGATTCGAATACTATCACTAGGAACTAAAGTATAATCTTTGTCAAGAACAACCCCTGCTGCTGCAGGATTTTGTTTGTTCATCATTGAGTTTATTTGCTTGTCAATCTCATCAATTTGCTGTTGTTGATAGAGCTCCCTTCCTGTTCCATGAAATTCTTTAACAAACTGTTTGGCATTCTTGCAATGATTGAATTTTGACTTGTAAAATTCAGGCAGTAATGAATTCATAAACTCGGCCCTTGGTGTTGTAGGATTAGGTATAAATCCCACTGAGGTCGAACTTCTCCACACCAAACCCTTGAAATACTGTCTTAAATTTCGCCAAGTCTGCAAACTCCAGAAAGATCGATATTGGCTGATCGTTTACACTCAAAGTTTCCTTCTCTGTCGAATTCGCCATGTTTATAGAGATGGAATATTAATAATTTGTAAGCAGTCGACAGTTGCTTTGTGCAGCGGTATAAACTTCCGGTAAATACTTCATGTAAGGACCACAAAACAGTTTGAACCAAAAGAAGTGGCGGACAAGAATGCTAAAGAAAAGTCGAGTTTTTCAGAGAAAAGGAGCAAACTCAGGTTAGAGACCAAGTTGTCAGAAAAACTAAGGATATCATTGCAGTCGTGCAAAGCGTGTGAGAATGAGGAAAAGATCGAAGGACTTATCGTGTTCTATAGAAAAAATCCTTTGAAGTGTCGAATTTTAGATGGTTTGTTGTATATTCTTAGACAGCTTTTGGCTTCTTACGATGGCGATAAAGCGTTTGGTTATCTCCCATATAGTGAAGCTCATGGGATATTTTGTGGCTTCATGGAACGAGAAACTGAAGATAAGGAATTTAGAGATCATCTTCTGAATGAGGAATATGGACTGTGTGTTTTTGTGACAACAGTGCTTAACACTCGATACATTATTTTGCAAAATGAGACTGTAGATACTGGAAAATTTCTTTTGGAACTTGAATGCCTTCTACCAAAGGAACAGGACAACTTTTCGAGGTTTGATTTGAATGCAGACTCACTAAAACGAGTTCTACAGTCTATGGATACAGAATATGACAAGACAGTTTTGAAGGCCATGATTTTCGCTTCGGCGTCAAGGAAGAAAGTCTATGAGCTTGGTATTAAACCAGAGAATGCTGTAGGTTTCCTTAACAAAGTTGTCAATGTATCCACAGAATGTGAACAAGCTATTGAAGCAGCAGGGGATATTTTAGAACTGCAAGATAAGGACAAATTGACATCCATAAATGAAAAAATAGAAGTCATTGAGCAAAGCTTGGGAAAAAAGGAAAGTTTGATATCTGAAAGGCGCAAGGCAGATCTTATTTCAGAAAAGTCAAGTCTAGAAGAGAGAAAAGAGTGGATAGAGAACGATCTGCAACAAGATGACTCTAAGAGTGTTAGAAGATATAATCAAAGAAAACGGAGATTGGCAAGAACACTTGTTCATAACAGCAGGGTGAAAAGACGCAAACTTGGTGCAGGGGCAAACAAGAGTTTGGACACCGAGGATGAGGAATTTATTGCACGATCTATAGAGGAAACATGCACTGCCCATGGTAGGCGCCATGATACTGTACTCTATAGCCATCACCGTGTTAAGAAACGGCACTTTTTATCATTGGCCAACTATAACCTCCATCGCAGAGGTAAGAAACTGATAAAATCAGCTACAACTGTGCTTAGCGAGGTAGACCAAAGAACATTAATTCAAGGGCAGCAAAAGCACATTGTGGAAAGTCACTTTTTTGTTCCAAAAAACCTCCCAAGACTGAAAGTGAATCAGGTTTGGCAACTCATCATCAAAGAGCACATATACGCAATTGCAAGCTTGACATGTTCAAGAGAAGAAATAAAACAAGTCACATGATTAGCTTTGATGACAAAGCTTACATCAGACCAGGAAGTGATGTAGGAGCCCGTGATGTCAGGAAGGGGGTGATATATGATGTTTCTGACCCTTCAAAAGAAAAACAACTTCCCCAACATGATTTTCTGAATCGAAGGTTTATCAAACGCCATCTTCCTTTCGGTTTATCAAGGGGACAGTTGAAGACATCAAAGATGAGCAAAAGTTTGTTCACGAGGAAGATCAAACTATTGTCACTGTACGTCCTAAAGGGTATATCGGCGGGGACGGGCGGGGTTATTTTCAGGACTTTCGTCCCGGATTCAAGTTTTGGCACATATGCCATGTTGACCGCCATGGTCATTTTACCCTAAAACAGTTGAGATTACCTGTCCTAAATGAAACGCATACAAACTCATATACAGGTCCTAGACTACTTTCAAAACCATTATATTTTCCGAATATGAAGGATTTAAAGTCGTTGTCACGGTAATACGATAATTACACTGACCTCACTGACCTGAAAGGTCAAGTATCTTAAATCCCTAATTTTCTGTTTTCGTCGTCGAGAAATCGAGTTTGCGTTAGCGCATCGCAGGCTCAGGGTGCAACGATTAAGCCAAAATGCCATCGATTCAAATGCCATCGATTGCTCGACTGCTTGATTTAGTTTTATATAATAACTACAGTGAAACACGCAATTTGATTGGTCAACAGCCGTGCAGGATCAGACAATCCTGAACGGGAAATTCTGAACAGAAATTCTTGCACATAATTTTACAAATATACTCGCATTGTAAAGTTTCATTGTACGATACCTTTCGACTTTGAAGTAAGTTTCCAATTATTGAGATATTGGTTTAGTTGTGTGAATAAATTTCTGATCAATACATTGCTATTCAGCAAGTAGCAACCCGTAGCGTTGAAATTCATCAGACCATGGCAAGTACAACATCTCTCGCTAGTCGCTTCAAAGTTGAACAAACGCTTCGCAATCTTCACATATTCAGGTCGAGAATCTTCAAAACTACTTTGGTTCTCTGTTTAGCGGGTTTTCCATTTCAAATTTCGTATATTTTATCGAAAAAGTCCCTGTATTTTCGCTGTATATTTTCGCGAATTTGCGATCAAATTCTGTTCACATATGTTGTTGTTTTCAATAGCGTGGAGTAGCGATTCTCCGATTGGTTAATTCACGATTATTGTGAGAACTGCACATTTCATCAGTAATTTTAATCAAGTTAACCGTCGTTTCACTGTAGTGATTTTATAAAACAATTACCAAATGGTTTTCCCGTGCAGGATAGCATGATCCATGCACTTGGGATGTTGCTCGACTTTCGGAAAGCGTAAAAATACACTCGCCGTAACTCGTGTATTTCTACGCTTTCCGAAAGTCTCGCAACATCCCGCGTGCATGGATCACGCAATCCTGCACGGAAAACCATTCGGTATTCCTTTATTCATGGCAACAAGCTCCGTATTTATGTACGTAGTATAGCCGGCTCATGTCATGCTTGTGGTACATCTTTCTTTATTAGCCCATCCACTTGTACGCACGCGCACAATCACCAGTTCCAGACCTCCTGAGTCCCTATCTCCCTCAGAGCTACCATGTGCATTTATGGATAACGTTTGTGTTTGTGAGTAATACTTGTGTTTCATTGGACCGAACGAAAACATCTTCTTAGGATAATTTTGCGTATCCCACATTCCCAGCCTAGACGTAGACCTTCTATTTTTATTTTTTAATATTCAGCGCTTTTTCACATGAAAAGACTGGGACTAGGTGATTTGGGGGCGGGGCGGAGGAAGGACGAAATTGAAGGCCTAGTGGATTTCCCAACAACAAGGCCAAAACTGCCCTGAAACTGCCCTGGTTGCGAAATTAACAGCGAGTATAAATCGATACAGGTACAATAAACTCATTTGTAGTATAAACTTACTATTTTTATTTCTATACACGCCTAGAAAATCGGGTTTTTTATCATAAAGTTTGAAGCAACACTATTATTATGTTGACAAAGTGTAGCGAAAGCTCAAAATGAGTCAAAATGTATACCAAAAGTAGAATCTTTCATGAAATATTGTCTTATACACAACTACATTAATATATATTTTCTCAATTTTGGCAAGAAGCAACCTTGTGTTTGTAAAATATACAAACACATATACAATTATTAAATAGAACGGATACATATATTATTAGCCCGTACAGTGTATAAAACGTACATTGTTTACAAATGGTATATCCATAATACTTGAACAATAATGTCAAAATCGTCATTCCCGATTCGCAAATATAGTTATTCAAAGCAAAACAGTAGATTGTCTTGCGAATAAAATAATTATTTCGAGTATACATCAGTGTACAAAATTGTTGCAACTTTAAAGGCCTTTAAGAGTGTGTCCATGTAAGAACCATGCAGAACCTTGCAAGTGGTGATAAACGTCAACGCACAGAATTTGCTCAAATTTGGCACATATGTATAGAGGATATTAAGTATCTGATCTAATAAAAGTTTGAGGTAAAAATATTGCACGGTAACGGAATTATCCACCCCCCCATGATTTTGGGTCATTTTTGGCTCCAAAAATGCCCTTTGCTAAGTAATATTTAGTACATTATAAAATTATAAAAACACACTCAAATGAAATGATATTTCGGCTGCTAAACTAAAAGACACCAGGCTTTCATAATATGTAATTGCCGCCATCCACTAGGGCTGGTTGTCATGGCAACACCAAAAATAAGAGACAGTTTTTTCCATTTTTCGTTAAATTAGTTTTTGGACCATTTCGAGAGCAAATATCTCCGTTGAACAACTTGATTGGAGTATAATTGACACACAGTTATTAAAAGCTATCCATACGCTTGGTTGACAACAACAAAAATTTCGGGATATTTAATACATTTCTCACGGCCAGGCAACAAATATACCCTATGTTGAACATTTGCATAATGTTAAAAAAATTCATAACACAGAACAAACTGCTTAACTGTAAAAATTACTCATCAGACATCAGTGCAAATAATGTCATTAAACAACATTATTGAATTATCTGACAAAAGAATAATGAGCAAGTTTTACAAGCAGGAATAGAAGAAAAATTGAATAATATATTGTATCTTGCACATAATAACGGAGGCGAGTAAAAACGATATAAATATAATATTCTTTATAAAAATAGATTTAAAAGATGAAAAACGTAAAAATAATACTCACATAGGAGATTTGTTCTGATACTCGAAGCAGTGTGAGGGTAGTTTTATGACCATTTATACTACCTATATATACTACGATGTATTTTGAAATACATAACTTTTATATTTACACATCTTTGCCAATGTTTTCCTTTGTTATTAAACTAATACTGATAGCTGTGGTTGAAATAAAGAAGAAATGGTTATCTCAATGCAAGCAAACTACTTTAAAAGAACTGACATTTGTTGAAATGAACAAATCAAAACAAGGGGCCGCCATCTTTCCTCACCAGTTGTAAACTTTACGTGTTCGTCAATATAATATATATAGGAAAACAGATATGTAGTTTACAAATACAATATTTAATTGAACACTCCCCATTGGGGCTTTTCAGTGACAATTACAAAGTGATAATTACAATATAAATAGGCCTACTATGAAATACAATTTATATATAAAGTGAGTTACAGCTAAAATCTATATATCAAATATTGCATGCGTTATGATAAAATCTGTCAAGTAAAATTCTCTTTAATTTGTATTTAAACTCACGAATTGTCTTACTCGCTTTAAGTTCTGGGCATAGGTCATTCCATAATTTAACAGCGCGATAATAAAAAGTCCTCTGGCCTGATGCGCTTTTGAGAAGTGGAATGTTCAAATGAGAAGTTTGTCTAGTTGACCTTCCACTTATACTACCTCTACTTACAAATTGCGAACTTAGATAAGTTGGTGCCGCTCCTGTCATATATTTAAAAGCCATGACTGCTTCGCGATAATAAAGTTTTAATTGTACAGGTATCCATCTTAGTTCCTTTAATACAGGAGTTATATGGTCGTATTTCCTGGTTGCACTGACGATACGGGCCGATACCTTGGAGTTTTCGTATATTCCGATCACTAGTGATTGGACCAGACAGTTGAGCAGTAATATAACTTGCTGAATACAAGTGAATTAATTACGGTAACAAGTAGCTCGTTCTTGAAGACATGTTAAACCCGACTTATTTGACCTAAGCTAGACATGCAAGATGACACAGTCTTAAGAATATGTTCATTAAAATTCAAATTACGCTCAAATGTAACACCCAGATCTTTCACAAACTGTGCAGGGAAAAGTTCTTTTCCCAATAAAGAAAGCTGAAATTTTGGCAATTTAGACACCATTTGTCTGCTTCCATAAACGATCAATTCAGTTTTATCGGGATTTAATAAAAGCAAATTTTCAAAGCACCAATTTCTGATCCTACAAAGATCGTTATTCATGTCGGCGGTAGCAATTTAGGCGTCCTTAGCATGATAACAGACCTACGTTTCGCCCACCCTAAAATTCACGGGTCGACGAAGGGCGAAACGTAGGTCCGATGAAAATGTTGTCAAAAGTGCATGTAAGTCGACCGCCTGGCGGTCGACAAAGCTGATTGGCTAATTCACAGGGAAATGGGTTGTGATTGGTTGGTCGCTAGCATGAAAAGATTTGAAAAGATCAGAATATTTTCAACGGTAAATCAACGCATATAAATATGCATACAGTGTTATATTCTAAATATTTTGTGATGCCGAACGACAACTAGTCTATGATCAGTATCTACCGTCTAAAATTAAGGCTGGGATTACACTATACCGGATTGATTTTCATACCGGATCAATTTTCACACCGAAGCCAAAATCAAGGGTGTTTACACTATGCCGCTTCGCTCTGTCGCCAGCTCGTATCTTTTATCGTTGCCACGGAAACAAATAATAAGTTTTGACCATTTTGGACGTTTTCTCGACAGTACTTGTGAATTATAACTTTGTTTACAAAGCTTGACCACCCGACGTTGCTTTGTCTCGCTCTTATCGAAAATTGACGAGTATTTCATTAAATTTTGCCCTTTTGAAAGCAAGAAGTCAATGTTATTACCGCTATCTTTATTTGTCTTCGCTAGAAATAATAAATAATTGTAAAGCGAAGCAAACAACAGCTATAAAATATTTAAAAGCGAGTAAATAAAACGACAATGTTAAAATATACTTGCCGAAACCTATTTATAGTACCGGAGCGTACCGGATTGCTTGATTACACTTGGTTTTATCCGGTACAGCACGTACCGGATTACTTTTCATATCACCTCCAAAGCGAAGTGATTTTCGCGCCGCGGCACGTACCGGATTACAGTGGCGTAGTGTAAACAAGAGGCCAATCCGGTACAGAAATCGCGTCGCTTCGATGCAATCCGGTATAGTGTAATCGGGGTCTAAAACTAGAGGGGAGTAGAGCAATACGTGTCAAATTCTTCAGCGTTGTATCTTTCCGTTGTAATAAACAATACAATATATAATTTTTTATACACGATCTAAGTTTTGTGATTATAAATCATAGTAAAACTCGGATACAAATATGTGCGCATTCATAATTTACATTTTGATAACATAGCACGTACAAAATATTTTATTTAGATTTTACCATTGTATGGCGATTTCAAAATGAATAAGTTGTAAGAGTTGGGATGCAATTCAATGGGGCGCCGTAGCGGACAATATTGCCTTTCAAAAATAAATATCTGCCAAACTGCAGATGTTTGCTCTAATACAAAAATATATGGACTGAACTTTGAAAATATATGTGGTGAACATAATAAATTTGTTCTGAACTTAATATATATCTGCCAAACTTAAAAAATACGTAAGATATATGTTCCCAACTTGAAATAGGCATGCGATTATTTTCATAAATATTGGCCAAATTAGATAAGTTCATGGTAAACTCGACAAAACATTGCTGAACTGCAAAAATATATGCTAAACTTTAAAAGTTTTCTATACTCAAAAAATATATGCTCTTTGAAAAATATATATTCTAATTATGATGCTTTGCGGCCTTATTATATCACGTGACAAACAGCAACGGATCAGTCATCGACAAATTCAAGTGGAAATAGTGGTTTGACGTTAACGGAAGAACTGCAAAACAGTTAAATTTGAATGATTTGAAATACTAAAACTCTCAAACAAAAGCTGAATTAAAAACGTTAACAATGCCCCTTTACCGCCGAGAAAGTCAGAGCGTCGTCAACGTTGAATGGGTGGCATTTTTACAGGCCGCCAAATCCGTTATTGCAGGAATAGCGTTATTGCAGGAAAGCAGTACCGGAAATACGTTCAGCAGGTTAGATCAGTTGGAAATCTTGAGTAATCGATTGGAGAGTATGTGTTCCTCCTTCACGACGTTACTGGACAACTTAAACGCTGATGAAGACACTTTAGGTTTGCTTACGGACATTTTAGCCAGCCTAATGTTAATTCAGAGAGCGGTCTTTAGAGAGGTGGAAAGGATTCAGTCGACTAATGACGATACATCTTATAGGTGTTCAACCCATCGAACAAATAGACCTGGCCGATCAAAATATGACATTACCAAAAACCAACTTGAATTTTTGCGAAGCAAGCACTTTTCCTGGGTAAGCATTGCCAAATTGATTCACGTGTCCACACGGACGTTAAGAAGGAGAAAAATTGAACTTGGTATTGATGACAATTTTTCTGCGATTTCCGAAGAAGAGCTAACTCGTACGATGGAAGACATTATTAAAATTACCCCCAATATTGGTCAGAGTAGGATGGTTGGTGCTCTCAGGGCAAGAGGGCTAAACATACAGAGACATAGGGTCAGGGAGTGCCTCAGGAGAATTGATCCAGTCGGCACAGCTCTTAGATGGAATCCGAGAATTTACAGACGTAAGTATCAGGTTCCGCACCCAAACGCATAGTGGCACATGGATGGGAACCACAAGCTGATACGATGGCGTTTAGTTATTCATGCATGCATTGATGGATATTGCCGACTTGTTATATACCTGCAATGTGCTAATAATAAACGGGCGTCGACCGTCGTAGATTTTTTTGAACATGGAGTCACAGACTTTGGTTTACCGTTAAGGGTGCGGTCTGACCATGGCTTAGAAAACTTGGACGTTGCAAGCTTTATGCTTATTCATAGGGGATGTAACAGGGGTACGTAATATGATAACAGGTAAATCTGTGCATAACGTCAGAGTTGAACGCCCCCACAGAGATGTCTACTGTGGCGTACTTTCTCACTATGTCTGGCTATTTACTACCATGGAAGAAGACGGTTTTCTTGATTGTCTGAATGAAAACCACCTTTTCGCATTGCACTACGTATTTATTCCAAGAATACAAAAGTCTCTTGATGAGTTCAAGTGCCAATGGAATGGCCACCCAGTCAGTACAGCTGAGAACCTTAGTCCTGAACAACTTTTCGTCAGAGAGACAATGTCAAATTGTAACCAGAATATACTGGAAGGAGTGAATGACAATAACGAGTTTGATGCGTTCGGTTCGGGCATAGATTTAGATACAGATGCAACTCTCCCAATCAATGATGATGACTATGATGTTTCTGTACCACACATTAATGTCAATGAAGAGCTATCTATCGTGCTACAGGAAAATATAAACCCCCTAAGTGATGATGGACATCATGGTGTAAATTTGTTTAGGGCATGTGTGAAGCTATTAAGCGAGAATACAACAGGTTAATAGTTTGTAAGTTTTCTTTATTAAAATTTCAAAAAGTGCAAAAACGATGATACTATAAGGTACAAAAATATCAACACTAATCCATCTAAACATGTAATTGGTGATTGTTTAAAATGTCAGTCACATTGGACACTGCTAGAAAAAATACCGGGGCAATTCAGTAGAAAAGTGAAATGGCATACTTGATGTATAGTGATAGTTGCATAAAAACATCTCACCTGCGTGGGACAATCACCAATTACTTATTAAGAAACAACAACAATGCTAAGTCATAATACTGTATGATTATGAAACTGTAAATTAAGTGTACATTAACATTTGGCATAAACCAAGTGAAAAAAACTATAACAATTTTGCAACTAGGTACAATTAGAATCCTCAACTACCCAGTCATAAAAACTTACGGAACTGTCAAGATCAGTTTAAACAATATCAAATGCCCATGACAATTTATCAGCTAAGATGTTACTAAACTGCTCAGCTAAGTCATTATAACACTGATATGTACTTGGTAGCTCTGACAGAGGCGCACAGGTATATGCAATTGGCCGCCTCGCGAAACCCTGGGCAGCTACAAAATCAACCTTAATCTGTTCAGTTACAATAATGTCGCTACCTGTAGTGAATTGAAGAAACCGTGTTAAAGACTGACCCTGTAAAGACTTAATGTACCGTTTTAAGTGATCCAAACATTGGTTTTCAGCATCATTAGCTGGAACGCACTTAAGCAGTTTTATTACTTTACGACTGCTTGGCCGCTTTTCATCGTACATTTCTTTCAGCACTTCTATGGATTGAAATGGGGGGAAAGATTTTAATGTTTGAATATGGGGGGCCCAACAGTGGACAACATATTTGGGCTTTTGAATTAGTTCTTGGTGTGCAAGTTCAGAAAAAATCAACCTAATATTTTCAGCGTTTGGAATGCGGTGGCACTTGTACGAACTTAATAGCTCTAGCACTTGTCAAAGGTCTCACGCTCATTGTCTGAGATGTACATTCGAAACGATTGTAGTAGGTCATGATTTGTTAAACTTTCTTCTTCAAACAAGCAAGTAGCAACAAATACTAAGGAAAGTGAAATTGGAAAATATTTTTCCCTGAGGTAACCATAAATAAGAATTCTAACAATTGCAACCCACTGCATTTTTTGATGGTCATGCCTTATTGAGGGAACTTTTTCCTGCACACCTACAGCCAATGAATCAACGAAAACCTGCCAAAAGCTTGTGAGAACATCCCTAGCTACACCTACACCTTCACCCTTTTCAGCCGAACCATCAAAACCTATTACAGTAAACATTAAAAGACTACCAAGTGTGTCTGGGTCTTGAAAGAGTTGAATCATATCATTCTTGAGGGTTGTTCTGTGCACTGTTACAGCCTTCACTGGATAATTGACAATATGATTCAGGTCAATTACACCAGTTTCAGTTGTTAATTGATGTGCTAAATTAGGAAAAAACTAAGTGTTATAATAGGAATATTGCATTTACATGCACCCTTGTACTGACTTATACATGCTGCTGTAGCTTAACAGAACCATTAATTGGCCACAGTAATATGTGAAAAACGCTTACAAAGGAATAAATTCATTAGTGTATAACGTTGAAGTATTCTTAACCTTTGCATGTGCTTTGTACTGCTTGTCATTTTCTTTTTTTAATAAAATGTGACTTTTAACGACCATTTGTTACTGTATTTCACTCAGTTGAATGCCAGAGAAGTTTATTCAAAGTGGGGAAATGGAATTACAACAACAAGTGCTGGATTATATTCTTAGACCGTTCTCTGTTTCTCAACAATTAGGCGGTGTTTATATGGAGGTGAGAGTCAGGCGGGCCAGTCTGGTTCCCATATAAATGCAAGATGAATATTAGTGTAATGCAACGTTAAATCTCAGCAAAGAGAGCTAGCGCAGGTTCCATATAAACTACCCCTTAGTTTATATTTTCTCCACAACTTACTGTATACGTACCATTATCATGGTTTTGTTCATCAAAGATATCAATTAATGGAGTAGATTCTGGAAATGGCTCTGTAATGCCATTAGTGTGTTCTACCGTGACATGATCTAAAATTTTAATATTTTTCCTGTTGAATTTAGTTAAATTAACCCATTAAGTCGCATTGCGCCCTGATGCACCTTACTTTATTATTTTACTCTGTGTAACACCAGACGATTTACTCGTCAAGGGGAGAGCGCTGGCGCTTAATATGCATATTCCCCAGCCTGGGATGGATGGAAAGCTTTAACAAGTTACATAACCCAGTGTCACAAAGGTTTAGGGGGTTATCTGTGGTTATCATTAAATATGGCTAGGAGCGAGGGAGGAAGACCGGTGTACTCAAAGTAAACCTGGCAGCTGGCAGCAACAGGATTAAACTTTGAAGTACTGCCTATCACACAATAACTACATCTTCCAGCCAGGTTTTGGTATTCCCACGAGAATTCAGTATCCTATTTCAACAACTGGGCAATCCGACCAGCACAAAAGTATTAAAACAAGGCAATGCTCAATATTCTTGGGTTTTCATCATGGAGACAATTTTTCTTAACAATTACCGTTAGTTTGAGTTTGTTCATCAACAATATGTGCATGTACACCAGCAGATTCTGGAACTGACTGTGCAATACCAATAGATTGTTCTATCATTACAACATCTAAAATTTAAACACATTTCCACTAGTACTATAGCAATGACAGGATTCCACATTTTACTATCCCCATGAGAATCCAGAATCCTACTTCTGCATAAGTGTTAAAATGCTACATATATCTATGTCATACAGGCAGTAAACATCCACATCACAACCTCATTTTAAATTTTCTAGTATCCAGTGATGCCATTAATTTAATATGTATCTGCAACATCTATGTTGTTAAACCTAAATTTTGGCTGCTTATATAAAGCCCCCAATTCACTATTCCATGACTCACCCTTACAAAAAAATCCAATTGAAATTCCAATAGGAATTTCTATTGGAAACTATCCCAAATTCCAATTGGATTTTTTCATATGGGCAACAATGTCATATAATGCAATTCATGTATTAATGCTGGGCATTAATATTATACATTCATTTGTCAGTCAATATCTACCTTCAATATCAGACTCAGATGGAATTTCTAAGATTTCTGGATCTTGTTTTACTGCAGCTATGGATGGCTCCAAAAAATCATCATTGTCAGAATGATCACTGTCACTACCAGAAGCAAGTTTTACATTTGAGCGTATGTACACTGCGCCTTGGCCTGATAGTTTCAGCAGCATATTGCAGTTCATTCTAACTCCCGGGGCCAAATTTGGTGAAACAAGTTTTCCATGCAAGGCCTATATATAATACATATAAAAATAATAGATGTTTGTGTAATCCATTATAAATCAACCACATCACATTTTAAATCAAACAAAATAGTAGTTATTGTTTCTCTAACTAATAAACCAAAAAATACTGTTGGCCCATTAAATTAATGGTAGTTATAGAATGGAAACAAGACTTAATGGACGTTGTTGTGATAAAAGTTAAAAACAACAGCATTAGAATGAACACGACGCAGATTTACATGAACCAATTAGAGGGCATTAGGGACTGATATGAGAAGAACAAAATGTGAGAAGGCATGTGTAAAACAATTAATTGAACTAAAACAGCAGACCCCCTCACCGCCTTCATAAACTGTTTAATATTTTATGAACCCCCCTTTTTCCTGGCTAAAAAATATGTGTCCCCCCACTGTTTCCACCTCCCAACCCCTCCTGCTAAATTATGACCAGTCCCTTAGGGGGGCCTTTAGGGCACAATGCAACTTAATCAGTTACTAGGTTAAAAGGATTTGGATCATACAAGATACCTACTGCAGTTTTTAAAAGATAAGCTTTCTAATGCAGGGGGATTTGGTAAAATAATTTTTGTATTTCATGTAGGTAGAGTCATCAAACAGAGGAGGTGGGGGTCATCAAATGAAGGGCATTTCATGTCCCATTTAAATTACCAAATTTCTAGGACGGTTAATAGAGTTGTTTGGATAGATAATGTGACTGTCTTTCTTTAAAATAGGGGTTGGGGGGGGGGGTATTTCTCTCTAAGTGAGGGACATTTATAACAAGGAAAACGAACAATTTTCCAGGCCCCACAAAAAAATTCTAGGAATTCTTAAGATTTCCTAACTACTACCCATGCTATATTATAGTTTGTTAGCAAAATATTATGCCGTATGTATTAATTACCTTCATGTACTCATCACCACAACACTGGATCTGCGGAAAGACTTTTTCTATTTCCTTTTTTAAATGGATGTCATCCCAATCTCTTACAACAGGAAAGCTATGAAGAACGTAACCATCACTTTCCAACATAACCCGAGATGAATGAGTCGGGACTGAGGTTTGTACTGTGTCAGGGACCAACACCAAATCTTTGTGGGCTGCTTTTGGCTTTATGTTCAATTTAGGTGTCGATCCACGCTTTCGTTTTTTCTTGTTGGCACCAAAATTTGACGTTGAAGCGCGAGTCAACGGCATTTGTGTCGAGCTTGTTGTTGGATTTGTTGAACAACTTAAAGTAGAACTTGAAGTATGGTTAGGTCGCAGATTTGCTAAGCTGGGAAAACTTCTTCGCAGTTCTTCCGTTAACGTCAAACCACTATTTCCACTTGAATTTGTCGATGACTGATTGTTTATAGGAGAAATACTGGCGCTTTCGAGCTGTTGTATCCTTTGCAGTGCGTTATTTAAGTGAAACTGAAGATCATTTGGGTTGAACATCTTCGTCTTCGAGAAATGGTGGAAAATGGCGGTCATCCGTTGCTGTTTGTCACGTGATATAATAAGGCCGCAAAGCATCATAATTAGAATATATATTTTTCAAAGAGCATATATTTTTTGAGTATAGAAAACTTTTAAAGTTTAGCATATATTTTTGCAGTTCAGCAATGTTTTGTCGAGTTTACCATGAACTTATCTAATTTGGCCAATATTTATTAAAATAATCGCATGCCTATTTCAAGTTGGGAACATATATCTTAAGTTTAGTACGTATTTTTTAAGTTTGGTAGATATATATTAAGTTCAGAACAAATTTATTATGTTCACCACATATATTTTCAGAGTTCAGTCCATATATTTTTGTATTAGAGCAAACATCTGCAGTTTGGCAGATAT